TTAAGTCTTGGATGAAAGTTGTTTTTCCATTGACAGATCTGGCGTTCAACAGCACCACCTTCAATCCAGAGGTGTTAACACCCCTGTGACATTTGTTTTGCTGTCTCTGCCCTTCTTCAGAAGATTTCATCTCACTTTCTGTCCCTGTGATAATTAGATTTTGAAAATAAAATGGCTTGTTGAGAAAACAAGGATTGGTAAGAAAGCTTCAGTAGAGACATCTTTTTCCCATGCTAACTCTTTCAGAAATAAATTTCCCTCGCTAGGGGTAGATTTCTCTCACTTCCTGTTGTCTCTTTGTCGTTTTTAACTATGAGTCATTTGTAAGTCGGATGTTTGTAACTCGGGGACTGCCTGTACTGCTATAGTATTATCTGTGTTAGACCCACTATCAAAGTAAATATAGCATGGTGACTCTTTCTCACTTCATAAATAACTTTCTCACTTTGTTCAGTATTGTACAACGTAAGCTATTAGTTCACATTTCTGGTGTGTTGGTAATTGTTGTAGAACAAACCTATACCTCAGCATACTTTAATGAGTTTAGCGATTTTTCTTCGCCCATTTTACTCTTTTTAAGAAATAAAATAGTAGATTAATAAATCAACTCATTTTGTGCCATGTTAAAATACTTTCCACAATGTCTTCAGATTACTGGAAAGCTTTATGTGGTAAAATCATTCATAGAATCACAGAATCATAGAGCTGGAAGAGACCTTGTGGGCCATCCAGTCCAGCCACCTGCCAAGAAACAATTCAAATTACTTGTACTTGTATCTCTCACTTATATTGTGAAGGCAAGTGGTACTGAATACATCTCACAGAAGTATGTCTAGTGCAATTCCAATTCTGAATTTGTTTACAGATGCTCTAGAAATGATGCTATTATGATGCAATATTAATATTTCCATTCCATGAAGACGTCTAATTTTTTAGGTTTCCAATGAAAGAAGATTGTAGTGTAATGCAAATGCAAATAAGAATGCAAGATTGAAGTACAAATGCAATTCTCCCATATGGGGAGAAAAGCAGGACAGAAATAAATAAAGCAAGCAACCAAGCAAATTAACTTCTTAGTGTAAAGTTTTAAATCTCTTTCACAACTTTGTTTAGATTTGTGGACTAAATAGTGGGAAAATATCTCTCTAAATCTGGCTGTTGTTTATTTCAGGCCTTATGGCCTGAACTTTTGTCAGTGAGTGAAGATGAATACAATTTGCTTGTGTTCAAATCGAATTAACTTATTTTGATAATTTTATAATCTGTTCCTTGACAGCCAAGGCTACAAAAGGGTTCGTGGCTCTCTTCACGAAGAAAAATATGATTTTGCATGATTGCGGGGCGAAAAAGAAAGATAAAGACACACAGAGCAGCTCTAATGCCTGTATTGTGAAGAAACATTAACTCGCTTCCAATGATGAGGAATTCCAATCTGAACAGAAGTTTTCTTCACAACCATATTTTAAGGATATTTCGCTGCCTGCACATTTTGCGTTGTTTGGGGGGACTATTGCAAGAACTCAGCCAGATTTCCTGAGCTGTGAGGTAGAATAAGTTCATTTCCACACACACACCCTTTTTCATTTCTGAGCATGAACAAAATTAGGAAATGACATACATGCTATAAACAATAGATTAGATAGTTGAGTTTGTATTGCAGTTCAGCTCAGAGATGCAAGATGCACGCCAAAACCTGCTCTGTTGCTGTGTGTCTTGAAACCATTTCCGATTTAAGGTGACTCTTATCACAGATAAGTGCAGTGGGTTTGCCAGTGCATTTCTCTGAAGCTGAGAGTGCCCAAGGTCAGTTGCACAGGGTCACCCATTGGGGTTTTATGGCCAGAGCAAGGATTTGAACCTGAGTCTACAGATCATGGTGTTTCCTTCAAAAACCAGCAATGCGTGAATGCAAACTATCTGGTTATGTCTGGGGAATGTGAAAGGGATGTGAGAAGGTTCTGCAGTAGCATTGCTATGTTTTTGTCTGCCTAGCATTGTAGAAAGTATAATGGCTTTCTCTTTTTCTTCCCTGCTAGATCTTTCACAGAGCTCTTCTCCTTCCCTGTCGGACCAACTTCAGATGGGTTGTGATGAATCCGCCTTGGGAAGTCTGAATGTCGAATGCAGGGTCTGTGGAGACAAGGCATCTGGGTTTCACTATGGGGTACACGCATGCGAAGGTTGCAAGGTATGGCCAAAAGCAGCATACAGCCTCTTTACAACCTGTAGATTAGAGGAAGCATACCACTGGTCTTCAGTGAGTAAACAGGAGAAGGAAATCAGAATCTTTTCTTCTTAGGTTAAAAATCTAAGAAAGACCTTTGCTCTGGCAATGCAAAACACAAGCTCCACACCTCAAATGAACGGAATAAACAAGGTGCTATATTCAGAGGACATAAAGTCATAGCATCACCTTGAAATAAAACAGTACTAAGAGACTTAAAAGTAATTCAGATTGACATTGCTACCCTTCTGGAATTTATCAGTAAGTATATCTAGGGATTTTGTATAGCTCTGTGTCTCTAGTGTCACTGTTTCCCAGTGTGTCCTTGGTCTCTCTGAGAATCTAGAGATTAGTTATCTTTGGTTGACATATGCCACAGGGCACCTGTGAATCTATTCTGCCCCAGATGGTTTGGCTGGCTTCACAATCATAAAATTCCATCCCCCGCTCACAGATGCCGACAGAGCTACTGGTGCCAAAATCCTCAAGGCCAAAAAACAAAAAAAGGTGGGCCGGGGGGGGGGGGGGGGGGGGGGGGGGCGGTGTGGAGAGACAGCAAGCATGTCTAGAGGCTGGGATTTGTTGATTCCTTTCCCTCTGCTGGCCACTTGAGATATTACTGGTCAGCCTCTTGCCTTGCTTCCTGTATGCAGGTTGAGTACCCTTTTCCAGGATCCAAAATGCTCCACAATCCAAAATTGTCCACATGGGCAGCTGATCCAGTGACACCTTTGTTATCTGATGGTTCAGTGTACAGAAACTTCATTTCATGCACAAAATTATATAAAATGTGTTTATAATTTCCTTTAGGCTATGTGTACTTACGAGGTGTGTATGAAACATAAATGAATTTCATATTTAAACTTGGGTCTCATCTCCAAGAGGTATATATACACATATATACCAGAATCTGAAAAAATAGAAAACCCTTCTGGTCCAAAGCATTTTGGATTTAAGATACTCAACCTATAATAGGATGAAAATGTGTAAGTTGCTGTAATCTTTTCTTTGTGTGTACATTTATTTCATGTGGTCCTCTGTTTTGAAATCCCATTCCTTGTTGTTGAAAATGTTTCTGTGCCCCAAGAGTCAACCTGGCAGTTAATCTAGCAGTTTTACATGAAGTGCTATCCTTAGAATCAACTTCTCTTCCAGTTTCTTTCCAACATCTGATGAACTGCTCTTCTCCTTTACCAACAGGGCTTCTTTCGCCGAACAATACGCATGAAGCTGGAGTATGAAAAATGTGAGCGGAACTGCAAGATTCAGAAAAAGAACCGAAACAAGTGCCAGTACTGCCGCTTTCAGAAATGCCTCTCTTTAGGCATGTCGCACAATGGTGAGTCCTCTTTCCTCTGTCTCTGGATGATGGATAGAGAGAAAAGGACCAAAGGAGCAGTTTTCACTGTAAAAGCCTGTGCTATTATAGCAGAAAATAAATAATCTATAGGGATTCCAGTCAACGTGCAATGTACATACTTCTCTACAATAAAAGTAAAATTGCTCCTGGAAGGACTCTGTGGAGGTTTTACCAAGCAGAAGTTTATGGGTGCAAATGGCAACACAATGGGATTTTTAATTAGAATTACTTGGGGAGCAAACCCATTCTGCACATCTTAGTCCTTATCTGGATTTGGAGCCCTAAAACTGCTTTCTGTAAAAGAGAGTGTATAGTTGTGAATGTATGTTTTGAAATGTCTGCTTAGCATATTGTATATTTTGACCCTCAGACTGCAATCATAAATACATATGGAAATGCAAAATCCCAGTGAAGATAGCAGGATTTAATTTCAGTAAACATGCATAGTATTGTGCAATAAATTGATTTATTCTACAATATGTAGGGGAAGCTTTTGGGTTTCTTTTTCTCTTAGCCTTTTAAGAGTGTTCAGTATATGTAAATATTCTTTCTAAGTTACTTTAACAGCTACTCACCTTGAATAACTTACGTTTGCTGTAGTTGCACATTATTTTGAGTTCACTGTCAGTTTAATAATTAGTTTGGAAATCCCCATTCAGTCGCTGAAGTGATCTGTCTGAATGATCTATCTCATGGCATGGTTTTGAGCATAACATGGAGATGGTCTGTATATATTTAATATTCCTCAGAGCTTTAAAAGTTGCCTTTTTAGTCATGTTGCCTGGGGGCTTCTGACAGTTGTCACCCCCAAAACTAATTTTCAAAGCTCTACTTTTGCTGTTTGGAGGAAAGAAAGAATAGAAACTTGTTTTTTCTTTCACTCCTGATTCTCTTCTTCCAACTGTAATTGTATCTCAGGAAAACTCTTTGCCAATTGGAAAGATAGTATAATGGAAATGTAAAAATATCAATTTCTAGTCTTTTAGTCAAAGGCCTTTAACTTTGTCCTCATTTTCTTGTGCTTTTTTAGCCATTCGTTTTGGGCGTATGCCAGAAGCTGAGAAAAGGAAGCTAGTGGCAGGACTGACGGCTACAGAGATCAACTGTCAGAACCAGCAGCTGGCTGACCTGAAAGTCTTTTCCAAGCACATTTACAATGCCTACCTGAAGAATTTCAACATGACCAAAAAGAAAGCACGAGGCATCCTGACAGGGAAAGCTAGCAGTACCCCGGTGAGTACCTCAGACCCAGAAGCCTGAAAATGAAGTCAAGTAAGTCATTTGTAGTTCCAGTGAGTTCATGCTATGTAGGAGCTTCTAAAATTAGCCTTTGTTAAAGATTAAATTTAAACCTTCCTCCATCTGAGGCAATGAAATATATTTGAAAAATGCTGCTCAATCCAAATTTATCTCTGTACTTAGAAAGGGTTTCTGAAAAATGCATAACTTCTTATTGTCATCATCCTTCACCAGCCTCGTAGGCCAAAATTGTTTTGCTAGTGTCAACCAGGGTAGACACATTTAATCAATAGCGTTGGCATATGCATTGAAATTAAAATTCAGTAATTGATAAAGTGCTCTGTTGTAAGTGAGACTTAACAATTGGATTTAGGCCATGGGCTATATGAACTAAACAAGATTCCCTATTAATTTTTCCACTTAGCAGTCTCTTTACTGTGATTTTTAAAAATTATTATTATTATTATTATTATTATTATTATTATTATTATCATGATTTATACCCTGTTTTTTTTCTAAAGAAAGATGGAATAATCTGAAGGACATGAGAAATAAAAATAGTCTGTGCCTTTCTGCACCATATATCTAATTGTGCTTTACATTCTCAAAAGTTTAAGATTCATTTCAAACAGACAGTTCCAGTTTCAATTGAGTTAAATGCAGTAGAAATATAATAATTTATAACATAATTGCCTTTGAATCTTGGATCAGAGTTATTAATAACAGTGAGAATTAGTTATGTGTCGTGGTGGCACAGCGGGTTAAACCACTAAGATGCAGAACATGCTGATCAGATGTCAGCAGTTTGAATCCACAGACAGGGTGAGTTCCTATTGTTAGTCCCAGCTTCTGCAACCATCAATAGGTACTGCTTCAACGGGAAAGTAACAGTGCTCAGTGCAGTCATGCTGGCCACATAACCTTGGAGTTGTCTACGGACAATGCTGGCTCTTTGTCTTAGAAATGGAGATGAGCACCTCCCCCCAGAGTCAGACATGACTAGACTTCATATCAAGGGGAAACATTTACCTTTTAATATTATTTTAATATTACTTTAAGGCAATGCTTCTCAAACTGTGTCCTCCAGCCAGCTTTCCAGCTGTTAGGATCTGTGGGGGTTGAAGTCCAAAACATCTGGAGGACACAGTTTGAGAAAATTTAAGGCCTCTGTATACAATCCAAATCATTTCAAAAATGGTAGAAATAGTGTATGTTTGTACTTAACTATACTTTATGGGTGGTTAAGTGGCTTTAACAGATAACAAATATGGTATAGAGTAGTCTTGTGTTGCTTCTAAAATGACAGAAGTATCTCTGGAATCTGGAATCCCAAGAACTCTTGTAACTGCAATTTATTGCTTGTGGCTGGAGTTTTCACTACAAAATTCTAACTGCATATTCATTCATTATAGCCTTTTGTGATCCATGACATGGATACTTTGTGGCAAGCAGAGAAAGGACTGGTGTGGAAACAGCTGATAAATGGGCTACCACCATACAAGGAGATTGGTGTTCATGTTTTTTACCGCTGCCAGTGCACAACAGTGGAGACAGTGCGGGAACTTACGGAATTTGCTAAAAGCATCCCTAGCTTCATCAGCCTTTACCTTAATGATCAAGTGACTCTGCTGAAATATGGGGTGCACGAAGCCATCTTTGCCATGCTTCCCTCAATTATGAACAAGGACGGACTTTTAGTAGCCAATGGGAATGGCTTTGTGACACGCGAGTTCCTGCGCAGTTTGCGCAAGCCCTTCAGTGAAATCATGGAGCCCAAATTTGAGTTTGCTGTGAAATTCAATGCTCTGGAGCTGGATGACAGTGACTTGTCTCTGTTTGTAGCCGCCATCATCCTGTGTGGAGGTGAGACCGGGGATCCAGGGAACTGGTGGGAAGGAGAGTTATTTTCTAACAACTATCATTTATATTCTAAAAGGGAGCAGGATCGTAGTAACATAGGGTGCACTATGAGGCTGCAGGTACTTATTGATGGCCTGAGAATTGGATTATTATATGAGCAATACAAATAGCAGAAAGAGGCTATCTGAGTTACATTCGGTAATCTGATAGTTTTGTATCTGCAGTCTCATGAGAGAAAGAAGTAAAATCTATTGAGCACAGTAGAATTAACTCTAAAGTAAACATACATGAGATTAGATTGTGCTATACATCTTTCCCCTTCCTCTCCAGAACACAAGCCAAATTCCAAAACCCCTTTCCAAAGAGTGATTTGAATTACTGTGCCTTTCCTTCTATGTCAAGACAACCACATTCATCTAAGTCCTCCACTTATTATTTTCTTCATTTTTTGGCTTACCTGTAATATCATCCTTTTTAATCCTATTCAAATCCCTTTTTCTCTTCTGTTCTCTTTCTGTCAATTTCCTGCTGTCCTTGCCCCATGCAACTCATTACCTCTTATTATTTTTATGTACTTGTTGGTCCTTTTCAGATCTCCAGTCTGTCTGAGAGGAGTCATTTGGTAGCAGGCATATGGAACGTTTAGAGTTCCAAATGCTCCATCAGTCCCTTCCTTTATCCATACATGCTGGCACTTCTGGGAGTTAGTCCAAAGCAGTGTGACATTCAAAGTGTACCAAGTCTTAAGTCTCTTCTGTTTCTCCAGGCCCTTTTTTTTTCACATGGTCAAACTTCATGACATATTTTCCAAAACAGTGCCCCAATCTTGTTTTGTTGAAATAATTAGAATGTAATAAGGAGCAGAAACTTTCCAGGTAGAATTAGTGAATCTGGAGGAGTGCACTCACCATCTTATTTTCCCACTCTGCCTTCTCACTGTAGGAACAGAATACGAGACTACAGAGGTCTAATCTAGCAATGATTTCCTAATGTTCCTATTTATATTGTCCTTCAAAACCAAGCATTCCCCCCATCTTAGCTCAAAGGCTTCAGGTATCAGCAGAAAAATATCCATACGTGGTGATTATTTCCAAATGTCTCTGGTACTTGTACATTGCCTTACAATCCCCTTGGCTTTTGCATTTGCTGCCATGTTCTACAGTAAATATGCTCCAATTATTTGCCAGACTTTGCTGCAAAAACTTGCCTGCCTCACCTTTATTGTTAAGAGGGATGTTATCCAGCACTAGCCATACAGCTGTTAACTGGGTTGTTGTAGGTTTTTCGGGCTGTATGGCCATATTCCAGCACTTTGCTAATCAGCCAGGAATTTGCATTTCAGATAATCTAAAATATATTTCTGTTTTATTTTAAACAGATTTTATCACTGAAATATTCTAAATAATGTAACAATGATGAAGAAGCCACATGAATCATACCATTTCATTCAATTTAATTCTATTTCAACAAGACGGGGTATTAAAAAGTCAAGAAAACAGGTGCACTAAGAATAAAAAAGTTGTTTTGTAAAATACATTGAAGGCCTCTCAAAGGCAGGGGGAAGGGATCTGTGAAAAAAGTTGTTTTCTTCCATTGTTTTATTAACTTCCATTGTTTTTGTTGTGGGAGCCAATCATGGTTCTGTTTAGCATCTTTGGTGCCTGTACTCTGAGGGTACTATTGTGCGCGTATGGTGCTTTTTGTCATGGCCTTGGGCCCGTACAATAAACTATTTTTGATTGATTGAAAGTTGTTTTCTAATAAATGTTACTGAAATGGGTGGCTGACTAGAAATGTATTTTATATAGGTGTCCAGTCACTTCTAATGTGAGAAGTCAGTGCTGGATTTATATGCATACATATTGTGTTGGTTCAAACTGTAATAGTACAGTATATGTTTAGGAGATGGGTTCTTCATATGGATTAATGTTCCTTCGTGAAGAAGGTTCCCTACTTCATGAGAGGAGACATGATAGTCATGTATAACATATGTGAGGGGAAGTCATAAGTAGGAGGGAGGAAGCTTGGTTTCTGCTGCCCTGGAGACTAGGACGCGAAAACAATGGCTTCAAACGACAGGAAAGGAGATTCCACCTGAATGTTAGAAAGAACTTCCTGACTGTGAGAGCTGTTCAGCAGTGGAACTCTCTGCCCCAGAGTGTGGTGGAGGCTCCTTCTTTGGAGGCTTTTAAAAAGAGGCTGGATGGCCATCTGTCAGGGGTTCTTTGAATGCAATTTTCCTGCTTTTTGACAGCAGGTTGGACTGGATGGATGGCCCACAAGGTCTCTTCCAACTTTATGATTCTGTGATTCAGTCCACAGAAATCTCACCAGATCCCTTTTGCCACTTTCAGCCTAGTTAGTACTGATGCAACACTTGAGCAGACTAGGCTTCTTCATAAAACAATGTACTCAAAAGAAGTATGATTCCAAAGGCAAATCTTCAGTTAATTATTTGGTCTCTCTCTCTCCTTTTCTTTTAGATCGCCCTGGTTTGATGAATGTCAAACAGGTGGAGGAGATTCAAGACAATATCCTTCAGGCCCTCGAGTTCCACTTGCAGGCCAATCATCCTGATACGCAATACCTCTTTCCTAAGCTGCTGCAAAAAATGGCTGATTTGCGCCAGTTAGTGACTGAGAATGCCCAGCTAGTGCAGAAGATCAAAAAGACAGAGACAGAGACTTCTCTGCACCCGCTTTTGCAGGAGATCTACAAGGACATGTATTGAGGAGCCTGCATTCATGAGAGATAGGTTAAAGCCATGGAATACAGCAGAATGCTTTGTACATTAGCAAAGAAATTGCCGGTGTCTTCTGTCCCTTCTACTGGAGTTGCTTCTCTAGATAATGGCTGCGTACTGTGCACAAGAGTGTACAGCTAAAGACTCGGCACCTACTATTCAGAGATAGGTCAGGTCTTCCGTTAGCATACACTAAGTGAAACTTTAAGGCACATCATAAGCTAAGTATCTGTTTTTAAAGTTCAGCTGTTACACTGTTACAGAGCAGCTGATGATGCGTTTACACACACCTCACAAATACTTTTGGAACTATTGATTGGATTGTTCTGTTGGTCAACACAGACTGTGTCTAGACAATTAAAGCAAACAAGAGCTTGTCTGGCAGGAACAGCACTTCCATCATATATCTGTTTTATGTTTTTATATTGCACTCTGGACTCTAGTTTGGCCCTTATTATGTGTCTTTATGTTTATATACATTTCCCAAAGAAAGTTCAAAGTCTTTCATGAAGGGTACGGACACTCCTTGTGGAGTCACTTTGATGGGAAAGATCTTGGCCTTTTCCCTCAGTGCATAAAAACAGATATGCCTTCTGCATGAACAACCATGCCTTCTATCCTACCTGTTCATTGCTTTTTCCCCTCCCTTTTGTGTTGATCTACAGTGCATTTTGCTGGAGTTCTTTCTAGACATGTAAAGTGCTTCCTTACTTACCGAAGAGCGAAGGGCTTCTTTTTCTATTTCACTGCACTCCAGTGCTTGCCAGATGATGGGGTCATTCCAGGATCTTGCTCTAGGATGATATGGTAGCTGCCAAAAGTCAATTTGCTTCTTTCACTTGAGTAAAAGTAGATATGACACTCCATGGGTTTGTGGAGAAAGGGGATGATAGTAAGCACTTGATAGTCTCCTTGTGTGGGAGAATATCTTTTTCTTAAAAGGGCAGCACTCAGACTATGACATGGGTGTGATTTGGGGATGTTGGAGAAGGCAATGATTATTGCATATCCCCACCTTTACTTGGTCTTCCAAAACTGTTGGGAGACATTTGAAAGGTTATTCCCGATATGTGAATTGCATCTGTGCCTTTCCTACAAGTGTTAGCCCACTGTTCCCTCCACCTTTGTCATTAGTTTTAGCGGGAAGCATTGCACTAGCATTGAGCATTTTAGCATTTCCTCTATAGGCATACATAATCATGTGTTTTAGATTTTCCTGGGGCTCAGAGCAGGCTCCAACACTCCTCTTAATCCCCTGTACTGGTTTTGCTCCAGTCCACAGAGATCTCACCTTTTGTCAATTTTAATCTAGTTAATACAGAAGCTCTCCAGTTATTACCATGGGACTGTATAGTCCTTGTGAGGCTGTTCTAGATAACAGTGGTTGATACACTATGTGACTTGTCAGATTTATTCCATCTCTGGGTTCCAATATATTCTCAACATTAATGACATCCGATTAGTTCATTATTTCCCAGACTCTGGTCTTCCAATTGTTTTGGACTTCAGCTCCTAGAATCCATAAACATTGGCGAAGGCAACTGACGCTCCTAGGGGTTGAAGTTCAAAACACCTAGAGGACAAGAGTTTAGGAATCACTGGATTAGGTCATCATGCTGGAGAATGATCTAAGACCCTTAGCACTGAGATTTTTGTACTGTTTTCTTGTTACATGGCCTTAAGCAAGCTTATCGGTTTTAGTACATTTTCAAATCAGTTGCATGCTGAAGGGGAAATTTTGAAATATTTTTCTAAAAAATCGTGGAAATAGCAAAAGGAATGTAATAATTTCACTACTGTGCAATGATATGTGTTTTGGTGATGGAAATTTGTTTGAACTTACCAGTTGTCCCAACCATTTCAGCTCAAACCATGGACTTTTTTCTTGGACTCCCATGCAGCAGTTTTAACATTTTGTTTTCCTGACTAAATTTAGGGAAGGAGCTTTCAGTAACTTCTTTTGTGGCAGTACCAAGTGCATTAATGTTTTACTCCTTTCAGAATACAATTGCCCTATATACTCATGTATAAGTCTAGAAATTTTAGTCAAAAAGTTTAGTCAACCAAGGTCAATAATGCTTATCAAAAAAGGGTAACCATCCCCTTGTCTTGTAGAGTAGCAAAAGGCAAGAATGTAGTTATTCGTGCGAGAGCTCAAAAGAAACATTGAAAAGAAGCTCTATTATCTCCACTATGGTAGTGCTTCTGGCCTTTTTGAGGTCCTTGGTGGGAATATTGTGTCAATGGCCAGAGGCAACTAACCCCCTGAAGCAGCATTGGTGCTTTCTTCTCTCTGTAGAATGACTCTTGACTTCTTCATGGGCCATATCAAAATTCATAATTTTGGCCCCTCAAACCTGCCTTCAACATATATATGAGATCAATTTATATATGAGTATATACGGTAATGTTTCGCATAGGGTAGCATAATTCAATGATAAATCAAATGCATTGCATGAAAAAGGGCTCAAGTTCAGTATCCGGTTAAAGTCATCTTGTAGTAAGCTATATGGAGTTCTTATTCCAGAGACTCTGGAGGGCTACTACCGATTAGAAGAAGCAATGCTGGACTGGATGAACAGAGGTTGTGATTTGGTATCATATTGTGTTGCAAACTGCACCATATAACTTCATATTTTCCTTGACTATATGAGGAGAAGGGAGACAAAAGTTGTGACACTAGTCTCAGGGCCCTTTCACTCTACACAGTTATGATATGATTCCACTTTAACAAGTCATGGCAACATCCTCTGGAATCCTGGGATCTATGATTTCATGAGGGGTATTTCGACTTCTCATTCAGAGAGCTCTAGTGCACCATCAGACTGCAAACCCCAGGATTCCAAAAGATGTTGCCAAGACAATTAGAATGGAATCGTGGTGCTGCAATAGTTTAGTATGAAAGGAGCCTCTCTTTTTTTATGTAGTTTTAGCTTGCAATCCTGTCCTTGCAAACCATCCATCCAAAGGATCTTGTGTAGTGAAAGAGTGAAGGACCAGGCTCATTTGCCACCAGATCTTTTTCAGGCACTTTCACAGTCTTATCATATCAGCAGGATTGTCCCTAGAACAGTCGATACCCTATGCTTTATGTTTTAAAAGCACCTCTGGTCAGTAGTAAGACAGAAGAGTGCATTTTTGATGTCAGATTACCTGTCTGGTAGTGTGGGCACATAACAAAGACAAGCCCTATTTGAACAACTGCATAAAAAAAGCATAAACCATGGTAAAATCATAATAGTGGTGGTTGCCTTGACTCTTGAGACCAATCTATGAGGCTTTGTTTAAAGACCTAGAAGATGGGGCCAGTAGGAGATAAACTGAGCCCATTTTCCCTGCAACATAAAATGTCAGTGACAGTAGTACTGTAATCCATCTCAGAGACCTAACCCTTGCCCTAAACCACTGCCCTACATTGTTACAGTATCCAGTTCATCTTTTTACATTGATTAGTGAAGAAAATTCTCAAAGGGTCTTACAGGTATGCTTGTCTGTGGCATTTTGGATCTTACCGAAACCAAATATAAAAGTGTACAGTGCTTGGAATCTAGATGTTTATCCTTGATATCATGCCTAGAGATCACTGTTGGTAGGGAAGTTAACAACTGTGTTGAGTGTCCTGCCAATCTCTGGGGTTACCAGGGAAGCAAAACCATTACATATTGTTCGTTTCTACACTCCATGGTCCTCAGTCAAATCTTTTGTAGTAGTTGACAGTAGAATAGTTCCAATCACTACCTAAACATGATAGTTACTTTGTGTAATCGGCTGGAATGTTATTGTTAGTGCAGGAAAACCAAGTTAATTAATCCTTGCTATCTTCTTCCAGCTCTGCACTGAATTATCTGCTGGTACTGTGTTGTGCCTATTTCCAGATTGGAGTGATCCACCTCTACCTCACAGGAATTATGTGAGGCTGATGGAATGTGTCTTATTAAAACAGTTTGGAGTATTTATGTAGCAGGAGCCAGAGATGGGCAAATCACCGAAAAGGGTTTTTTAAAAAAGCTTTCCAAAAGCCTTGGACCTGCATCTTCACTCAAAACCTTTTGAAGGTCTCTTCACCCAATTCTCTGCTTTCCCTCAGGAGTTGCTGGGCATGTATTTTCAGTGCTTGAGGAGTATGCACTCTCTCTTTTGGGGAAGGGGCTGAATGGGATATTGTAGCAATCCTCAAATTGAAATGTATATTTTTGTTAGAAGTTCAAACTCCAGGTGTTTTTAATAATATAGTGACTGACGGCTTTATATAAATTGGAAATAAATATTTAAGAAACTATTACAATGTAGCACTTCTTTTTATCCCTTTCTGGCTCTCTTTAGGCCTTCCTTTAGCTATTCCTTGTAAAAACCATCAGTAAGAGTAAAATATGTAATTCTTTTATTTGGGACCATCTAATATTTTTAATGCATTTTGAATTACACTGTATTTTTACCAAGTCTGGATGCTAACCTTTTTAACAGGGTGAAAGTATTTCTTTGTAAAAGCACTGATCTGGGCCCTTGCCTTCAATAAGTCCATGTCTACAGTAATTTCCTAAAGCATAATTGTTGAGCCAACAATGTGATGTGGCAGCAAAAAAAGCCAATGGGATTTTGGCCTGCATCAAGAGGAGCATAGTGTCTAGATCTAGGGAAGTAATGCTACCCCTCTATTCCTCTTGGTTAGACCACACCTGGAATATTGTGTCCAATTCTGGGCAACACAATTCAAGAGAGATATTGACAAGCTGGAATGTGTCCAGAGGAGGGCGACTAAAATGATCAAGGGTCTGGAGAACAAGCCCTATGAGGAGCGGCTTAAGGAGCTGGGCATGTTTAGCCTGAAGAAGAGATGGCTGAGAGGAGATATGATAGCCATGTATAAATATGTGAGAGGAAGCCACAGGGAGGAGGGAGCAAGCTTGTTTTCTGCTTCCTTGGAGACTAGGACGCGAACAATGGCTTCAAACTACAAGAAAGGAGATTCCATCTGAACATGAGGAAGAACTTCCTGACTGTGAGAGCCGTTCAGCAGTGGAACTCCTCTGCCCCGGAGTGTGGTGGAGGCTCCTTCTTTGGAAGCTTTTAAACAGAGGCTGGATGGCCATCTGTCAGGGGTGATTTGAATGCAATATTCCTGCTTCTTGGCAGGGGGTTGGACTGGATGGCCCATGAGGTCTCTTCCAACTCTTTGATTCTATGATTCTATGTTAAGAGACTTCATGATTTGTTTATGGTATTTGGTGTTCTCAGGAAATCCAGTCACTCCAAGCCTTAATTACCTCTTACTTGTCCCAGAAGAAGAATATACTGTATTTACTAACCTCATTGAATATATTTACTAAATAACCTTGAAGGGTAGTTCTTCAATTGTTAGTGAACTGCACCTCCCATCATCCCTCACTACTGACTGTGCTGGGTAGATCAGGTTGGTAGGATTTGAATTCACACAAGGTCTGAGCACCACAATGTGGTCATCGCTTATTCTCAAGAAAAGCTCACTATGTGATATGTGAAGCACTCTGAAGAAGTGCCATATAATATTACAGCAAACATAAGATTCGAACTGGACATTCTTGACTAAAAATTAAAACCAACTTGCCAATTCAGTTATTGTTGACACTCTCCAATCTAAAACCTCTCAAAAGATCGGCATTGCCCTGGTTGATCATAAGGTTAAGAAGATGGACATCACTTTGAAATAAGCAGATCTTCAGATACTTGAGAAATGTCAGAAAGATTGACTCTTGGGACCTTATCATATTGGGATATACGTCGTTTCTGAGACTCTTTGAACGCATTTCTGAACTAGTCCTATCTCATGACATTTGTTTCATCAGCAATCTGTTGAAATTCATCTACAAAATGTCACAGAAATTGAGTAATTGTACAGGGGATTTTGATCATTTATTTGATGTAATATGGTCCTGAGATGTTGTTTTGACATGTGATTGGAAAATCAGTATGCATTCTGTCAGCTAAAAATCTTGCAAGCATGGTAGTTGAAGACTTCCAGGTTATGTCACTGCACAGTATTAAGAAAAGTAATTAAAAAGTAATGTAGGGAGGCATTCAAATGGATTTGGGGAAGCCAGCCTTTGGTGGTGAGATGAGTCCAAAAGCCCAGTATTTTCAAAATGTAAGATTCAGATGTGATGGGGTCAGTATGCATCCCGGTTGAATACAGTGTGCATTCAGTCCTAAAAAAAAACAAAAACCAGGATGCATACTGATAGTAATGGAGTATACCCCAATACGATAAGGTCCTGGGTGTGTCCTGCCTTCTCCTTTTTCATCCATGGAACTGTTAAAATGGGAAGTTGGCATATGATGAAAAGTCTAGAAAGTTCTGAATGATGCACTGTGTAGATTACCCTATTTGTGTGAGTCCACTGGTGACTACTCAGAGAACTATAGTTACAGCCTGTCCTTTCCAGTGTCTTTCAAAAGTTATCTAGGAAAGGTTTTCTGAACATCACCTAGTGGCTGCTTTAGACATACAGTATATATGAATCTGTTAGCATTTATGTGCAGCGTTTGCAGTAGATTCTGCAGAAGACACTTCAACTGTACTTCAAAAAAGGAAAATTAGCTTGTTTAGTAAGCCTTGCAAATGCTGATTTGTTATCAGTAAATGTTTGATCTTTATACCTATTTTATAACCACACACCTTGGGGGTCACGTAAAAATTCCTCAGACCAAAAGGGGTCACAAGTGGAAAATTTTAAGAAGCCCTGGTTTAGACAATGTCATATTCTACTTCTAATACTCCCACTCTTTTCTGTCGCTTCCTTTTCCTCCTCCTCACAAGCATACAAAACAAAAAAATGTTTACAGAGTTAGAGATAAAATTGCAGCACAATGACTTTTGACCAAGAGCAATTGAAACCCACTGTATGGAAACTGTGAGTGTTGTGGCACCTAAAAGGGTAAAAGATTTGTCACCGTTAACGTTTATAGAATGGGGAATCTCTGGCAGAAGCATGGAAGTATTTTAATCAGTTGGATGAAAACAAATTGGGGGCAGAGGAGAGAAGAGAAAGAGCGCATGTAAACAGTGGGGCAACAAGGCCATAACATTAAAAGAGTTTAGTCTTCAGACATTCCTAGTCAAAGCTTAAACAAACAAAAGTGCAATACTATTCACAAAGACAAAAAAAGAACGAAGATAGGAAAACTATTTTCTTCAATGGCTGCTGCTGTGAAAACAAGAGTCCTGGGGTACTACTTTATAATGGCATAGGCATTTTTGGGCATTTGATCATGGTGCTTTTCCTGCACACTTTATTGCCTTGCATTTTAAAAAATATCATACACAGTGAGGCTGGTTCAAATCTATAACAGTTGAAGACATAATCAAGTGTTGGTGTTTTAAGTGCCACAGAAATCTGTTTGAAATTTTAGATATGTACTTTACACTAAAACCACCTTCCCTTAAACATATAGTATCTATATAAATAAAAATATAATGTTGGTTTGTGGGATTAACATAACTCAAAAACCACTGGACAAATTGACACTAAATTTGGACACAATACACCTATCAGGCCAAAGAATGACCATAACTCACAAAAACACCGAGAAACACAGCAGAAGAGACTTAGAAAACCAATAATAATAATAAAAAAAACATTAGAAATGTGCAAAACCACACACACACACACACAAAATACATATACACAGACTGGGCCACGGCAACATGTGGCAGAGGATGGCTAGCGGTATAATAGAATACTTGAAATTTCCCTAAGGAATAGATCAAGTGTCTCCCAAACTTCTCAAGAGAATTGAGAACAGTAGGAGGCTCTGTATTATTCGACATTTTTGTTTCTCTGGCATTCTGCCAGCTCGTTTATGTCGGATAAGCAAGACTGGATGACCCATGAACTCTCTTCCAACTCTATGATTCTATGTATTTTAACAATGTTGTACTTTGTTTTGAGAACGGGTAAGAGAAAAATGTATTACTACTACTATTGTTATTATCTTAAAGTGGATAAAGCCAGGAGTACCATGTCTCTTGATATGTTGTATTATAATCTCATCACAATTTAGGGCTTTCCCTCCCAACGGCTCTTCCTTAAAGGGCTCACAGCCTTTACTTTATCCCACTGAGGCTTTAAGGCTGACTCCACCTATTTTTGTTTGCGCAACAGATTGCAAGGCCTTGAAAGGGGACAACAGGTTCCCAATGCCAACTAAGTAAGTCAAGGCTGTTAGTATTAACAATATTAAATAGAAAGACAATCTGCAACATATTCTAAAAAAGAAACAGTAACCATGTGTAGTCTGTGTTCCAATCTCCACAAGAAAAACACCAACAAAGCACATTTTTATTATGATAGAAACCTCATGTTGGTGATACTCATGAAGATAGGAGTTGGCTTCTGTGTTTATAAAAGTGCCCCTGAATCCTGGTTCAGTACATTTTCCAACCATTTCCAGCATACAATTTCTTTATACAGCCAGGCCCCTTTTACACTGCCATATAATTCCAGATTATCTGATTTGAATTGGATTATATGGCTAATGTGGAGAAGGTGCCTAGGTTCTCCAGCATGATTTTTTTTTGGTCAGCTTTCAGCAGAGTTTGACCATAAGAGTCATGCTGAAGGATTCTTATAGAGCAGGCATTGTTTGTTTGTTAAAAATCAGTTAACTGAATATACTAGGGTAGAGAATGGATGCTACAGTGATACTATGAATTAATCAGTTTCCTTTTGCTAACCAAGTTAGCCTTCTGAATGACGCAAAAATTCCACTAAATGTCAGGGTCATCAGAGTTCTCCCGACTTCCACTTGGTGCCCCCTCCCTCCAGTGCTTTTTACAACATCCTGCCAAATGACTTAGTAATCTTTGATCAAAGGATTGCGGTTGCAGCTGGCATGTCTGAGGAAAGAAAGCCCCGTATTACATCAGGGCAGCGCAATTAGATTGAAAGTGGGGAACGAGATGTGCCACATCCTATAGTCAAACTAAAACCCAGTTTAATTTCTCTCACCATATCCCTAAGGTTTCTGGAAAAGAAGAGAGAAAGATAGAGGAATAAAGAAGAACAGATGACAGAGGGTTTTTTAAAAAACCCATGTGGTCCATGAGTAAAAAATTAAAAAGGCATTTTTTCCCTTAAAGACACTAAGATGTCAGAGAGAGAGAGAGAAAACAAACTTCTGGGTTCTTCAGAATTGCTCATGAAGTTGGACATTACAAAATTTGGGATCAGGGAGGAGGAACCAGAAAGAGATTACAAGCTGGAAAAATCAGCTTTAGTTCCAATGGTGTCAAGTAATACTTTAAGAAGTATAGCATTAGTGGCAGTTACCTGTCTGGCGCAGCGCTAGACACCTAGAATACTAAAAACAGGGGCTCAAAGGTTTAAGGCAAGGCAACGCCTCGGGGCTGGAGCAGCGGAAGAGGAGTGCAGAAATCACAGAGGGAAGGAGGGAGGACACTTCCAGTTCCTCCTCTTTTCCCCATTTCCTCCCTCCTACTCGTCTTGCCTTTTTCACTTATTGGATATGGAGAGAGAGTTGAGGAGCACTCCTTTAATTGAAGGGGAAATGCTGGAGGAAAAAGGCGTCGAATAAGAGCGTTGGATAAGACGAAATGTTGGATAAGTGTAATTAATAAAGAGATTGAACAGAACCAGGCCCAGGACACAACCCTGCTTATGGCACTACACTTGTCACTTCTTTCCAGGATGAAGAGGAAGCATTGGGGAGAAGCACTATATGGGGTTTGTTCACTTAACCAATGACAGATCCATCTAACTACCTAGAACACATAGGACTAGTTTGTTTGCCACAAGGTCATGTGGGACCTTGTTAAGGGATCCTCCTTCCCCTCCTTTTTATACTCAAGCAGACTAACCTGGTGCTTACCTGAAAATCTACTGCAGGTGCTATACAATCTGCATCCATCTGGAGATATTTCAATATTTCAGGCAGTGGATGTTGCAGAAAATGGCAGAGAAATTGGGGTCTCAAATCGCACCAAAAACCTAATGTTTTCGCCTGATTATAGGCTTGTTTCCAAGTAGGCATGAGCAAACTTAGGCCCTCCAAGTGTTTTAGACTGCAACTCCCACCATTCCTAACAGCCTCAGGCCCTTTCCTTTCCCCCCTCAGCCGCTAAAGCTTGGAGGGCCCAAGTTTGCCTATGCCTGCTTAAGAGGGAGAATCACATGGGACTCCTTGGTAGGAGGGCAGCACAAGGGCCTTACTTTGTAGAAAGCAGGCCTCATATAATAATAATAATAATAATCATCATCATCATCATCAGGATGATGATGATAATCGGAAAAACGTATTTCTGATGGTCTTAGGAACCCCTTTGACAGAGAAGGCTGAAGATGTCTCTGCCTGTCCTTCTCTTCCTTTTTGGAAACAGATGGCGAATCCTTCCACCAAAAGCCCTCCTCCTGCTGTAATTGGCTGGCCTCTCAGTCAGCCTCTCAGCCAAGGTGAGGCCTGTTTCTGAGACTCCCAAGCAGGGAGGAGAGAGCAGGTGAGATTGGTGCATGGCAGCGTTGTGCGCATATGCGGGCGAGGGAGAGCGTGCAAAGCTGGAGGGAGGCTGGCACCAGCGAGTTTCTTCAAGGCATGAGGGTTCTGTGTGGGAAGTTTGACCCAATTTGATCACTGGTGGGTTCAGAATTTTCTTTGATTGCAGGTCAACTATAAATACCAGCAACTACAACTCCCAAATGTCAAGGAAGATTTTCCCCAAACCCCACCAGTGTTCACATTTGGGCATATTGAGTATTTGTACCAAGTTTGGTCCAGATCCATTATTGTTTGAGTCCACAGTGCTCTCTGGATATAAGTGAACTACAACTCTCAAACTCACCAAACCCTTCCAGTATTTTCTGTTGGTTGTGGGAGTACTGCATGCCAAGTTTAGTTCAATTCCATCGTTGGTGGAGTTCTGAATGCTCTTTGATTATAGGTGAACTATAAATCCCAGCAACTCCAACTCCCAAATGTCAAGGAAGATTTCCCCAAACTCTACCAGTGTTCATGTTCGGGCATATTTAGTATTCGTGCCAAGTTTAGACTGGATCCATCATTGTTTTGAGTCCACAGTGCTCTCTGGAAATAGGTGAACTACAACTCCCAAACTCAAGGTCAATGCCCACCAAAACCCTTCCAGTATTTTCTGTTGGTCATGGGAGTTCAGTGTAACTAGTTTAGTTCAATTCCAGCGTTGGTGGAGTTCAGAGTGCTCTTTGATTGTAGGTGAACTATAAATCCCAGCAACTACAACTCCCAAATGACAAAATCAATCCCTTCCCCAACTCAACCAGTATTCAAATTTGGGCATATCTGATATTTGTGCCAAATTTGGTCCATGAATGAAAATATATTTTGCATATCATATATTTACATTATGATTCATAATAGTAGCAAAATTACAGTTATGAAGTAGCAATTAAAATAATTTTATGGTTGGGGGTCATCACATGAGGAACTGTATTAAGGGGTCAAGGCATTAGGGAGGTTGAGAAACATTGGTGTGGATGCAAGCCTTAGCCCTGCACTGAAACCACTACCTGGCGCTGCCTCTGTTGCTTTCCAATCCATCAGAGCCAAGAGGCGCGTCCCAATTCCAATGAGAGCCGCGCCATTCGCCAGCTTCTAGACTCCGCCCCCCGCTTCCCTCCTCCAATGGGCTCTCCCGCCCTAAACCCCTCCTCTTCCCTCACTATTTCTGGAGGCGGGGAAGACCAAGTACATTCGAGAGGGGGGTGTTGTGTTTTGTTTGGCGCTGGGAGATGGAGCCCTGGTGGACCGTCGGAGGCGGTTCCCGCCCGGCCAGCAGAATCCCCTGCAGGTAAAGCTCCTTCAGGAAGAGGAATGGATCCGCTTCTACACCGGCTTGGGAAGGGGGTTCGCCTCTGCATCCACGTGGCGGGAAGTAACTAGCAAAGGGAAAGTCCTCTTTTGGGGAAGTTGAAGTTTAGGAAAGCATCTGCACGGTGGAATTAATGCGGATTGATACCGCTTTGAACGGCCCTGGCTCAGTGCTTTGCAATCCTGGGAGTTGCCTCTGGCAACTCCCAGGATTGCAAAGCACTGAGCCAGGGCCGTTCAAAGCGGTGTCAATCCGCATTAATTCCACCGTGTAGACGCAGCGCGGGAAAGGCATTGTTTTGCCCTCTTCGTTGGTGAAGCTCCTCCTGCAAAGTTCCGGGCAAACTTTGCTGACCTCTCTGACATCACATCCCGCCCAGTCCTGCTCCTTGTTGTGTTGCTACCTCGCCTTCCTTTCCTATAACTTTGGGACAAGTTTCCTCCCAATTTCTGAATTTTCCTGGAGCTGAATGCTCCCAAGAGAGAAGTAAAGGTTCCAGCCTCACGTTGGGATGTGTAGTTCTCAAGGAAAGGAGTGGGAGTCCTCCAACTTTACTCTGGCTTGTAAAATCTCGTCTTTTGGGTGTGGCAAAGCCTAAAATAGCCTCCGCGCCTTTAATTCGGGCGCATCTCCATTGTAGAATTGTTGCGGTTTGATCCCACTTTGAACAGCCACTGGGAGATGTAGTTTGACAAGGTTTTTAGCCTTAATGGCCAAAGAGAATTGGTATCTTACTAACTAAACTACAGTTCCCAACATTTTAGAGTATTGAGGTAATGTAATTGTAATTAAAGTGGTTTCAAACGGGATTAATTCTACTTGGGCTTTCCAGGTGTTTTGGACTTCAATTCCCACAATTCCTAATAGCCTCAGGCCCCTTCCACTTAAGAAAGTTAGAATGTTGAGGCTAGCCAATCAGAAACCATATGCAAATTAGTAGGTCGAGATAGCTCATGCTTGAGGTCAACTTGAGCCCTCCCTCCAGGTGTTTTGGACTCAAATTCCCACCATTCCTAACAGCCACAGACCTTTTGCTTTTCTCCCTCAGCCGCTTAAGAAAGTTAGAATGTTGAGGCTGGCCAATCAGAAACCATGTGCAAATTAGTAGGTCGAGATAGCTCATACATGAGTCAAACTTGGGCCTTCCTTCCCCCCCCCCCCCAGCCACTTAAGAAAGTTAGAATGTTGAGGCTGACCAATCAGAAACCATATGCAAATTAGTAGGTCGAGATAGCTCATACATGGGTCAAACATGGGCCCTCCCTCCAGGTGTTTTGGACTCCAATTCCCAGCATTCCTAACAGCCTCAGGCCCTTTTCTTTTCTCCCCCAGTCGCTGAGGGGGAAAAGGAAAGGGCCTGAGGCTGTTAGGAATGCTGGGAGTTGGAGTTCAAAACACCTGGAGAGCCCAAGTTTGCCACATACCTGCTGTAGACTCATATAATGCAGTTTAATTTGTATGAGTCTATATAGTGACCATATAATGTGGTTTCAAACTTCATTAGACAGCCTAACTAACTTTGCAGATTGGAAACTTATTCTGGGGCTGTTGTGTCGGCCATGCGGCAAAATAACACAAAAATACGGAATCCACAAAGCATGTTTTTGAAGCCATGACAAAATCAAAATGTACCATGCAAGCTCTTGATGCTTCACCAGTGTCTTCATCAGGCCTAGATATTAAAAACCATGCAATAGAAGGGGAATGATCTAAGTCCCTTCCACAGAGACCTATATCCCAGAATATCAAGGCAGAAAATCTGACATCTGAATATGGACTCAGATAATCCAGTGCAAAGCAGATATTGTGGGATTTTCTGCCTTGATATTCTGGGATATGGGGCTGTGTGCCCTCTTAAAAAGAATTGTTTACATTCTAATTACTTTTCTTTCCTGTGTGAATTGTATTTTCCATGGGTAATAATAAATGTGATACATTTAGTGAAAGTTGCTGCTGATAATGGATTTGAGGAAATGTTGTTTGGCTTTTACTGCTCTTTGTCCGGAGTCCCCACATGGCCAAGAAGGGGAATGGCCTCTGCCTGCCTTGAGATCCATCCATCCAGGACCATCTTCACTGTCGATCAAAGCAATACCTATGACTCTTAATTAACATCTTCCCCTTTCTTCTCCTGTATGCTCTTTCAGCCTGTGAAGCTGTAAAAACTTGCATGATGTATTTTGTTCTTTTTTAGCTGGCTCAAAAAGATGTCAATGTATTGTCGGTTTAGGATCATTGTATTATCTTGCATTGTTTGATTGTATTCCTATGCTATATCTATTTTATTGTGATGTTTGTTCTGTTGTTTTGGTTTTATTTTGTTGTAATGTACTACTAGGGCTCGGCCTCATGTAAGCCGCCCCAAGTCTCCATTTGGGAGATGCTGGCGGGGTATAAATAAAGTTGTTGTTGTTGTTATTATTATTATTATTATTATTATTATTATTATTATTATTATTTATGAGTACTTGTGTGAGCATAAGAGACATGAAGTTGTTTAGGATACACAGTCATCTTCAAGACTTATACATTTGGAGATTTTTTAGTGAGTACGGTTTACACCATGAGATGCATACAGAGCCAGTGTGCTGAAATTGTTAGGAGTATTCACCTGGGATTTGGGAGATCAAACTACTTCATCATACTAGAGAATGAATCCACTTAAAATCCGGTCGCTGCCTCCTGCAGAATTCTGGGATTTGCAGTTTAGGGAGGAGCCTTTAACAGCCACACTAAGCTACAAACTCCAGAATTCTGCATTAGGCAGAAACCGGATTTAAAGTGGATTCATTCTCTAGTGTGATGATGTTGTAAGAGTGGCCAGGGGAGCTTTTGCACAGTTAAAACTTGTGCACTAGCTGCACCAGTACCTTGGGAAGCCTGATCTGACCACGATGGTTTATGCTCTTGTTACATCCCGAATAGACTACTGCAATATCCTGTACGTGGGGTTGCCGTTGAAGACTGTTCGGAAACTTCAACTAGTCCAATGGGCAGCAGCCACCTGGCTGCAGCAACATACAGGGAGCACCCCCCCCCCCCCATTGTGCCAGCTCCACTGGCTGCCAGTCCACTTCCGAGCACAAGTGCTGGCTTTGGCCTATAAAGCCCTATAACAGTGATTCTCAACCTGTGGATCCCCAGGTGTTTTGGCCTACAATTCCCAGAAATCCCAGCTAGTTTACCAGTGTTAGGATTTCTGGGAGTTGAAGCCCAAAACATCATGGGACCCACAGGTTGGGAACCACTACCCTATAAGGTTCTGGCCCAGCTTACCTGTCTGAACGTATCTCCCTCTATGTCCCACTTCGTAGCTTAAGATCCTCCGGGAAAGTCCTGCCAGCCTTGCAAGTGCGCTTGGTGGAGACGAGGGACAGGGCCTTCTCGGTGGTGGCTACATGCCTGTGGAACTCGCTCCCCAGCAAGGTCAGGTTGGCTTCTTCCCTCCTTTCTTTTAGGAAGAAGGCTAAATCATGGCTCTGGGACCAGACCTTTGGACAGCAAGCATGACAGCACCTTGTGTGTTGAACCGGACTGACATTGGCTATATGGTTGATGACAATGTTTTTAACGTGTTTTAACTTAATGTTTTATTTACTGTTTTAAACTGTTGCTATTTGTATTTATGTTTGCATTATATTGAGGCTTTGAATTGTGGCCGGTTTTTAAGCTGCCCTGGGTCACCCCTCAGAGGTTGAGAAGGGTGGGATAGAAATATTGGAAATAAATAAATAAGAGTGCATTTGCACTGTTTGATACCACTTTAACTGCATGACTAAATGCTAGGGGATTATGGTGTGTGTGTGTAGTTTTTCAAAGTTTTTAGCATTATTTGCCAAAGAGGGTTGTACCTCACTACTTGTCCCAGGATTTCATAGCACTGAGCGATGGCAATTAAAGTGGTATCAAACTGCATTAAATGGACATTGTAGGTGCACCCTAGGCCACCACTTAGCTGTAAAACCTGCTAGGTAAATCTTACTTTTAACTTATCTCACGGGGTTGTTTGCAAGGATAGCCTGACAAGAATAAGAGCTACGCCTTCCAATTTGACCTCATTATAGGAAAGGTGAGAGTCTTAAAATTTCTCTGATCTTGGAAACTAAGCAAGGTCAGCCCTAGTTAGTACTTGGATGGGAGATAGGCTTTGAATGGGGGTGATTTGAATGCGATTTTCCAGCTTCTTGGCAGGGGGTGGGACTGGATGGGCCACAAGGTCTCTTCGAACTCTATGATTCTATGATAGGCAATTAATTCCAGATGTTGTAGGCTATCTTTCAGAGGAAAGACCTGGCAAAACCACCTCTGAGTATTTCTTGCCTTAAAAAACCCCATCCATATGCATAAATTGACAACTTCAAGACACATGCACACTCCTAATACATGTATCTAATTAAATTGCCATGTATAAATAAGTGAGGGGAAGTCCTAGGGAGGAGGGAGCAAGCTTGTTTTCTGCTGCCTTGGAGACTAGGACGCAGAACAATAGCTTCAAACTACAGGAAAGGAGATTCCACCTGAACATTAGGAAAAACTTTCTAACTGTGAGAGCTGTTCAGCAATGGAACTCTCTGCCCCGTATTGTGGTGGAGGCTTCTCTGGAGGCTTTTAAGCAGAGGCTGGATGGCCATCTGTCGGGGGTGCTTTGAATGCAATATTCTTGCTTCTTGGCAGAATGGGGTTGGACTGGATGGCCCACAAGGTCTCTTCCAACTCAATTATTCTATGAAATAAATTCATGCTGAGTTATAGGTAGAAGTGTGTATACACACATATACATACCTACACCTACATACGGAGTCATGGTAGGAAAGGGAAGAGTTTGTAAGCAGTTAGTCAGAGGGAACTAAAATGCAGAGTAATAGATATAATAAAATATATCCATAAAATATTTGTGGGAGAATAAGGCAGAGCATAACTTATTGAGGTCAATCAGATAGAGAGGCTCTCTAGACTCAATATTTGCTTACTTTTCCTGG